CTTGCACTTAAGGGTGCTTTCAAACTGCTAGGTGGGCAGGAGCTGGGACCGAACGACGGGAGCTCACCCCGCCGCGGGGATTCGAACCGCCGACCATGCGATCAGCAAGTCCTAGGCGCTGAGGTTTTACCCACAGCGCCACCTGCGTCCCGCACCACCCGTGTTACTTCCATGTAAAAAGCAAGATAGGCTAACATTCTACACAGGACTATTTACAACAGCTGGCACAGCATCATGGCTGACTCATGTGAGTGACAAGGTCCAGAGTTCAAGTCTCACCCTAAAACACACTTCAAACAAGCCCCCTTCACCATGGAGATGCTGGGACTTTTTAAGAGCTATGTCGCCCTCAAGAACTACAACATCGTGCTACCATTGCTTATCAGCTTCTCCCTGCAGCATATTCCAGATGTTGGAGCAAAATTTCACAGCCTTGTGCCAAATGAAGTCATTCTGTATGCTTAATTTTTACTTGCTCAAACAAGCACGTGCGCGAACACACACACACACACACACACACACAGTTCTGAACTTTTAAGCAATTCTTGCGAGTCGGCCATACAAGCCCCACCGGCTACCACCTGAGGTGGCTGAAGTAATAACTACAAAGCCAGAATCAAAGTTTTACAATGCTTTTTGCACTTACAGTTTTACAGCAACGCCTTAGAACTTCAAAGCAACTACACAAGGCATTCATCATTACCGCCACATAGAGGAATCCACGGCCTTGTAAAACAATTGGCCTTTTGAGAAGTTGCCCTAAAACTCTGGGATGAGTAGCTTATGCGCCCAACTGTTGCAGAAACCCCGTATGTTTCCTCCACATAATTTAAGGCACCCACTTCCCAAACACACATGTCGTGTTAGGCCTCAAGGTACCTCTCTGAACCGAACAGCCACCTAAGGCCCAAACACGTCCCACTAATATTTCCCTTACTCCTATACCTACGCATTCAGAAGGGAAGAATACTGAACACTTTCCAGGTGTTCTTCATAATCATCTGGGAGCCTACCCAAGATGCAAAATCACATGCATGCCTTCAGTTTTTACAGCGTTAACCTTGCACTTCTATAACTAACGTAAGTTATTAGGAAGGGGAAAGAGCACACATAGCTCAGGATTCTTGGGCAAACAATGAGCAATACCTGAAAATGAATATTATTGGGGGGCAGTGGCAGACTAAATGGATGGGGAGGAGGAAATATGCACCACATTTAGTTATTACAGCATTTTATCCAAATCAGAAATCGTATTCCAACGTTTTCATCTTCCCGGAAAAGCTTTGTTGTTATTTTAACTGTTGTGAACTGCCTTCTGTTGAAAGGCAGCCTGTAAATATTGTAAGTAAGTAAGATGGGAGCGTGGTCATTCTCATCAAACATGGAGGTAGACAGCTCCATGCATGGAGGTTCTACTTAATATCATGGCCATCAGGCCATTTCAAAGAATTGCTGCAATTTTTAAAAAATTGCTATTCAAAGCCCTTGTCTCTTTACGTCCTACGTTTTATTGAAATCGTTCCCTGGGGAATGTACAATCCCATGCCTCTGGGGGGAGGATGAGTGTATTCACCAATTATTGGGGGGAGGGGTCAACTGGGTGGGAACAAGCCACTCCATCAGCCCCGCCCATAATATATTCAAAACACACTTTTTGGACGCATAGGATCACCCTGCAGTAGTCTTCCGCAAATAGAACACCCCACTGGTAAAATAAACTTCGGTCATGGCCAAATTCATTACTCCAGAGCCCTTCCTTTTTTAAAAAAGAAAAAATAAGGTGGTCCTAAATATGATTTCACTGGAAGAAAATGAACTGAATGTTATGTTCCCCCAAATACACTTTTAAATTCAAGTAACAGTACGACCCAATTATAAAGAGTGTGAACAGTAATATCTATCTAAGTTGCCAATGGCCTCATTCACATGCCACAGTATGCCACAAACCATAGTTTACAGAGCACAAGCAAGTCACACACTCTTTAGTCCAGGAGTGTTGGGAGAGAGAAAAACAAGCCAAGATTCCTAAGTTGGCATTACATCTGAAACAAGATTTAGGATTTGGTTTGGTTTAACTGGTAAGGCAGCAGCAAACCTTGGTTTGTTTGCAGTAAAACAAACCACACTTCCTGGTCTGGATGCAACACTAAACCACGGATTGAGGTTGGTTTCCTCCCAGTGTAAGCAGGGAGGATCAGAGTGGCACTTGTGGGTGGTAAACCATGGGTACAGCTCATGCGATGCGCAAACGTCACCAAAATGTCCAGGTCAAATCAAATCCGTCGTTTCGTAACTATATACACAAATAGCATCCCAGATACTTGTTAAGCATTCAGGAATGACATGCCCCTTGTTTACAACCACATGCGTTCCGACAAAATTTTCCAAGTTTCTTAGCGGACAACGCTGTCAACATCTATTTACTTATTTGTTCTGTTTATGGAGACATCCCATAAAACTCTCTAGGCGTCGTACAAATAAAAGAGAATGCAAACATAAAACGATAAACCCGTACTACTATAAAAACCACAATATGCTTAAGAATGAATAATCTTCAAACGGTTTTTTATTCAAATGGGTAGTGCCGCCAACAAATCAGCAACCTGTCCAACTTTTACCCAGAATCCACCGCTCAGTTAACGCAAAATTCACGCCAACAGCCCCACGGATATCTCCAAGAACGCACACTCGCCTCTGTTTACACACGTCTGGCCCAAAATGCACACTCCTGTGCATGTTTACTCAGAAGTAAGGCCTACAAAGTTCCATGGGGTTTACTCCCTAGTGAGATGTGGGTCGCAGTCAAACCCAGCAGGAAGCCTCACACGGGCACAGCTTCAAGGTTATGAAAATTCTACCAAAATTGCCAATAAGGCCCTGACATGTGGCCTAGCTTGAAAACACAAATTTAAGTTTGAAAATTGAACTTTTTCTTAAACTTTGGTTGGTGCAGGTGTCTCCAAACTGCAAGGAGACACTAGAAATCACCAGAAATCATAAAATTTAGAGTTACAGTACCCTCAAATATTCACTGCAACAGATCACAGGTGCAAGGGGGGAAAGTAATTAAGCCCCCTTTTCTTCCTGCTCCCTCCCCTCCCCCAAGATTGCTAGAAAATGAGAATTGTGTGGTGCCTTATATAAATCAGCTATAACTTCCTTTACACAAGCAGGGGTGGAAAAAATTGAGGAAGTAAAAGCACGTGCGAGAGAGTCAGCAAGCCCAGTAGGCAAAACTCAGGGACACCGTGCAAAATAAAAAAGTTCTCCTCCACGCCAATCTACTGACCAAAACTTCTGTGAGAGTTTCCTTAAACTTTTATACACTAGAGTGTGTGTGTGTGTGTCGCTGGCCTTATTTCTGTATTTTGCCGTAAACCCAACCTCCAAAGTCATTTGACAAGCCACGCTGCCCAACATTTATCTGATACGTTCCTCCCCATGGCTGTGGAATAATAATAATAAACATGGATATTTTGTCTTTGCTGACAGAAGGCGAAACCACACCCTGATAATAAGTAGCCTTGGAAACACCTATCTCCCCCCCCCCCCGTTGTTTTTTTAAGCTGGGCAAAGGAAAGAAAATAAAAGATGTAAAAGGAGAGAAGAAACACCAGCTTCACACGCCTTCTTCCAGTTTCCTGAGGCAGCTATTTTGCACGTGGACCTCCAAAAAAACAACTGGTGAAAAATACCGAATGCACAAATGGGGGGGGGGGGCTTTAGACACATTAAAGCAGATGCACCCATGTGCTTTGTCCACTAAATAAAATAAAATACGAATGCAACGGATCTCCCCAGAACTTAAAACCCAGGAATCTGTCCACAACAACTTTGGAGGAGTTTTAAAAGACACCTCCCCTCCCCCAGTTTACAAAGCAGGTGAAGCAGAGAGCAGAACCCTCCTTAATCTAATCGCCCCCAATAGGAATAAATGCAAAAAGCAAAAGGCAGAACCTGTTTTGTGTTTTTCATCGCTTGCAAAGCCGCTCCAGAGCCAAGTGCCAGGCAAGGCCCTCTTTTCACACCAGTCCCTTCCCCCGCTTTCAGGCTGGCTTCAGCTACAAGCCCAGCTTCCCTTCCCCCAACCCTCTCCTTTTGCAAACAGGCATTCCAGGCGCAAAAAACCTTTCCAAAGAAAACTTTCACCTCCCTCCCAGACCCGGCCCGCTTTCCAGCAAACCCAAATCCCCACTGACCTTCTTTGCATTTTATTTTAATAATAATAATAATAAACATAAAAACCACACTTCCGATCTTTATATTATACAAAAGGCGTGCGTCTTCCTCGAGCAGCAAAAGAAATGCACGGAAATCATCAACTCTTCTCCTTTGCAAAAAAAAAAAAGGGGGGAAAAATCGGTCTAAAAATAGGCTATAAAACCAGCTTGCTTCATAATGGCTGCTGGCTTGCATTTATTTGTGTGCAAATCCCTTCCTGGTTCTTTTTTATTTTATTTTTCCTTTTCCTGCGCCCCCACCCCCACCCAACCCAAGCTTGTGCTTTCAAAACGCGGAGAATCAACACTTTGCGCCCCCAGCCATGGGGGGGGGAGAGAGATGGGAGGGGGGGAAAGAAATATTTAAAGTTAAAAGACCCAGGTTTCCCAGTGGGGTTGGGGGGGGGAGCGAGAGGGCCAAGTTGAAAAATGCATGTTACACTCCTGCCCATCCCCCACACTCCCTCCTCCAACTCTCTACAAACACAGGCGCCCTTCCCCCTACCCCACCCCACCCCAGCCTCTGGTCTCAACACGACCCCCCCCTTTCAAATCCTTCTCTCCAAGACCCCCCAACCCCCACCCGGGAATAATAAGGCTTTTGCATTTACTTTATGCGAGGCTTTCCTTCCACCAGCCAACCAAACCCCCCCCCTCCCCACGGCGCACCGCCCCAGATATTCTGCTTTTGCAAAGGGTACGTTTAAAGCAGCAAAGATTAAAACACACGCGCAAAAAAAAAACAACACACAACACACAACAAAACCACTCTCTCCTTACCTTGCAAATTGATGGCTCTCCGTTAAAGCTCGTTCTCACCCCCTCCTTTTGCAATGGAGGCAGAAGAGGGAGAGGAAAAAAAACATAGAGAGAGATGTGGAAATGCAGTTTCCCCCTTGGCTTTTAATACAAATATATATTTAGGTAAGGCATGTAGGAACAAAAAAAAAAAAAACGGGTCTGCAGTTGCAGGAGCAGCTCCGGGCGCCCCCCCCCCTTCTTCCCCGCCTCCAAAAAAAAAAAGGAAAAAAATAGAGACCGCAAAAAAGCCACCCAAAAAATGCAATGTGTTCAATTATATCCCGAGCCTCTGTGTGTGTGTGTGTGTGTGTGTATTGGGGGTGGGGATTTAAGAAAAGGGGGAGGTTGTTGGAGGAGGGGGGGTGGAGAGATTACAGATCACAGTCCCAGGGAAGGAGGAGGAAGGAGGAGGTAATAATACTACTAATATTAATAATAAGCAATCTCTCTCTGTGAGTGTGAGTGTGAGTGTGATTTAGATGGAAGAGGAATTGAGGCAGAATGTTAAAGCTGTTACTAAGGGAAGGAGCCAAAACGGTTCAGAGCAGCCAACGGCTCTCAGACACTCAGCACTTGGGGGGGGGGGTAGAGAGAAAGAGAAATGTGGCCAGCCATACAGAAATGAGCAGGAGAAGAGAGACACATACACACACGCGCACAGACACACACATATACACAGAGAAGGGGGAAGGGAGCGAGGAGGCGAGGCCTGGCTGTGTTTTCTGTTGCTTTTGCTTCCTGCAAAAAAACAACAACACACAAACAAACCCGGGGTTTGCATGCATGCATGCAAAAAAACACAAAAACCAGGAGGAAGCAGAGCAAGACAAAGTGAAATGGGATTGCATTTTTTTTTCTTTTTTTTGGGGGGGGGGGAGGTTCCCAGCCCTGTGAAAAGGTGGGGGAGGCGCAAAGATGAGAAATAAAATTCATGAGTCTTTGGGGAGGGGAAACACCTGCAAGGGGGGCATGGCAGGGGCCTGGTTTTGGGGGTGTTTCACTGTTTCTGCGAGGTCTGTCAAACACCACCCTAAAAGGCGGGGGAGGGGGCGGAATTAAGCAGATATGGAGCCCAGCGATTTTTGGGGGGGTGGGGAGTGGAGGAGATCCCCTCACTAAAATATGCCACCTTCAGTATGTACTGGAAAAGAAGAGTTTGCACAGGGGTAGGTTAAATTGGGGTTGCACAGCAGGTAGGGATAAAAGTGGGGGGGGATTTCCCTCCCGCTTCCAAATGCTCTAGCGCCATCCCCAAAGGAGAAGGGAAACCCCTCTAAATGGAAGGAACTATGAAGGGGTTATCTGTCAATTGGAATTAAAAGTTACCTAGCCAGATGGGCGGGGTGTAAATAATAATAAAAACGGTTATTGTTTTTATACCACTGTGGGGAAAACAGCCCATTCTGACATGCCCTGGTAGAAAACGGAGAAGGCATGGTCCAGAGTGTGCCAGTTTCAAGTCCCAGTTAACTATCGAGGAATTCCCAGTGCGTTTTTGAGAGCCAGCATGGTTAGAGTGTCGGACTAGGACATGGGTAGGCAAACTAAGGCCCAGGGGCCGGATCTGGCCCAATCGCCTTCTAAATCCGACCCGTGGATGGTCCGGGAAGCAGCGTGTTTTTACATGAATAGAATGCGTCCTTTAACAGTCATACGTCATATTATGTTTGCTTCAGGTTGAGCATTTTCAGGTTGCGTCCCGCGGCGACCTGGAAGTACCGGGAAGGGTTACTTCCGGGTTTCACCGCTCGCGCATGCACAGACGCGCAAAATGACGTCGCGCGCAAGCGCAGAAGCAGTGAATCGCGACCTGCGCAGATGTGGGTTGCGTTCTTTTCAGGTTGCGAACGGGCCTCCGGAACGGATCCCGTTCGCAACCAGAGGTACCACTGTATTTAAAATGCATCTCTGGGTTATTTGTGAGGACTGTCTGGTGTTTTTACCTGAGTAGAATGTGTGCTTTTATTTAAAATGCACCTATGGGTTATTTGTGGGGCATAAGAATTCGTTCAATTCCCCCCCCCAAAAAAAATATAGTCCGGCCCCCCACAAGGTCTGAGGGACAGTGGACTGGCCCCCTGCTGGAAAAGTTTGCTGACCCCTGGACTAGGACCAGGGAGCCCTGGGTTCAAATCACCACTTGGCCACACACAAATTTCTCAGGGTAGGTCAGCCACTGCCTCTTAGCGTAGTAACTGTACCTCACAGGTTTGCGGTGGGGGTTAAATTAGGACGTGGAGAACCACCTATGCCGCCTTGAGCTCCTTGAAGGGAAAGCTGGGGTACAAATGTAACAGAAAGATAAATATATTGGTGCCTTCGATTTAAATAAGATCAGGAAGAAGGAGATGGGGGGGGGAACCGTCTCTGATGCCTTGGGGGGGCTCTGCCAGCCAGAGTTGACAGTACTGATCACAGCAGCCATCAAAAAGAGTAAAAACTTTCTTAAGTGCTGGGAGAAAAAGCAAGACTCCAGAAACTTTCCCAAGCTTCAACAGAGGCCTAATTCTGGATCTGAATGTTTGCTTGCGTATGCGGGGAAATATGCAGAAAGAAAAAGGCAGGGTGGGGGTGGGGAGTAAAAACAAAAAAACCGTGTCCAGAGGATGCAGCATTGTCTCTAAACCCTCCACTGAAATATACAAATAATCAAAGCAGGAGCGTTCAGAAAGGGGAGACAGCAGTGGAGTGGAGGAAACAGCGGGTGGGGGATGGGAACTCCCCTTACTGTCAGAGGGAAGAGGAGGAGGGAGAGAGAGGGAACCAGGAAATTGCATTAAGCAGATCAAGTCATTATTTGGTGTTCTGCACATTTGAAATGAAATGTGCAAGCCAGCCACAGAGCGTGTAGGAGGGCAAGGAAGGATAAAGAACCACGGAGGGTGGGGGGGAGGGGGGCAGTTCTAACAGGAAAACACGCCCCATCTGCGAAATGCGGCTTTGAGAAACAAACCAAGGGCAGAGGATTTGGCTGCACAGCTAAATGTGACACAACAGGGAAGGTGGGGGCTCCCTCCTTGCCCACTCCCCACAGGAAACCAAACTGGAGGGGGCACGAAACACAGTTTGGGGAAGAGAGATTTTTCCGTCGCATTTCGCACGAGCCACTCGGAACACTGGGGACAATTTTCGAATACGCACATGGACTTAGGGAGCGGCATACCCTCCAACATTTCTCTGATGAAAATAGGGACGTCCTATTCCATTATTATTATTATTATTATACCCCACCCATCTGACTGGCTTCCCCCAGCCACTCCGCTGGGCAGCTTCCTGCATTTATGAAAACATAGGAAAAGGTAAAGGTACCCCTGCCCGTACAGGCCAGTCTTGACAGACTCTAGGGTTGTGCGCCCATCTCACTCTATAGGCCGGGGGCCAGCGCTGTCCGGAGACACTTCCAGGTCACTTGGCCAGCGTGACGAAGCTATTTTGGCGAGCCAGAGCCGCACACGGAAACACCGTTTACCTTCCCGCTAGTAAGTGGTCCCTATTTATCTACTTGCACCCGAGGGTGCTGTCGAACTGCTAGGTTGGCAGGCGCTGGGACCGAGCAACGGGAGCACACCCCGCCGCGGGGATTCGAACCGCCGACCATACGATCGGCAAGTCCTAGGCGCTGAGGTTTTACCCACAGCGCCACCCGCGTCCCATGCCCCACCCGCGTCCCATAACATAATAAAACATTAAGCATTAAAAAAAACCTTTCTTTTACAGGGCTACCTTCAGATGTCTTTTAAAGGTTGTATAGTTTTTTAGCTCCTTGGCTCAGGGGTTGCATAACTTTGATGCAAACATCTATACAGTGGTACCTCGGGTTACAGACGCTTCAGGTTACAGACGCTTCAGGTTACAGACTCCGCTAACCCAGAAATATTACCTCGGGTTAAGAACTTTGCTTCAGGATGAGAACAGAAATCGCGCAGCGGCGGCAGTGGGAGGCCCCATTAGCTAAAGTGGTGCTTCAGGTTAAGAACAGTTTCAGGTTAAGAATGGACCTCCAGAACGAATTAAGTTCTTAACCCGAGGTACCACTGTAATGTTCCCTTCTGCAAATGTAGACAGAGAACTAAATGCGAGTTCCATCTTCAGCCTGATTAACCCTGAAAGTCAAAGGTCTAGAAACAGGACTCCTGTTGTTGTTGTTTAAACCTAGGAAGGTGCCTTACAGCAAGTCAGCACGACTAGCTCAGTATTATGTACACTAGCATTCCCCAACGTGGTGCCCTCCAGATGTGTTGGGGTACAGCTCCCACCATCCTACAGACCTACATTGGCTCCCAGTACATTTCCAAGCACAATTCAAAGTGTGGGGGCAGACCTTTAAAGCCCTAAACGGCCTCTTCCCAGTATATCTGTAGGAGCGTCTCCACCCCCATCATTCTGCCTGGACACTGAGGTCCAGCGCTGAGGGCCTTCTGGCAGTTCCCTCACTGCAAGGAGCCACGTTACAGGGAACCAGGCAGAGGGCCTTCTCAGTAGTGGCACGTCCTCCCATCAGATGTCAAAGAGAACAACTACCAGACTTTTAGAAGACATCTGAAGGCAGCCCTCTTTAGGGAAACTTTTAATGTTTGATGCATAACTGAATTTTAATATTTTGTTGGAAGCCGCCCAGAGTGGCTGGGGAAGCCCAACCAGATGGGTGGGGTATAAATAGATGATGATGATGATGATTATTATTATTATTATTATTATTATTATTATTATCCCTGCCTGGAGATGCCAGGGACTGAACCCAGGTATTTCTGCCTGCCAAACAGATGCTACAGCCCAGACATTTTGCTCTCCATCCTTTGCACCACTCAGACTGAAGGGGCTCTCAAAGGTCTTAATTGATACCCCTTGAACCCTGATACATCTGGGCTGCTTGTGAAAGTGGGTCTGCACCCCACTCTCTTCTTCCTTCCCCGCCCTCCACTCAGGAGGAGGAGAACAATTATTTACTCTTGAACACTAGGGGCATTGTGTCTTTCAAGCTCAGATGGCAGTTACCCTCAGCTGCTAGGAAAACACAGGTATCTGGTACGACGACATTTCTTATCTCTAGCTGCTGTTCTGGAATTTGCTGCCTAACCCTGACACACATTTGTAACGATTAAGAGCTTGTAAAGAAGATCTTTTCTTTCTTATTCAGGGATTGTTCAAAACCATTTGGCTGTATACGGACATCTTCCCCTAGGGGTTTTGCCATGGTTGCAAAAGATTTTTCTGTCTTTATATTACTAGTTTTTCTTTGAAGAGTGTAGGCTTTTCCCCTCCCCTCTCTCTACCCTAGGGATTAGTGTGTTTGTGTGTGCATGTGCTTGTTTAGAAGAGCAAACAAGCCTTGCCTCTTCAACAACTCTAG